GCTTGCATTCTCAAGTGCTTTATATATAAACCGAGAATGGGAGCCTTTGGCTTTGACCAGCATTTGCTGCCATCAGGATAATTTAATGCAAAAGTAGACTCAGATTTTTTGACTGCATTCCTGAATTTTGTAGTAGGCTGTTGCCACTTTGCCCTGTTCTCCTCTGCACTAAAAAGCAGCAGTGGGAACTCTTGAAATCCATTACAGACTTTCATTGCATTGAACATTTCTAGGGGCAGAAAATTCAAATGGACTTTTTTAACTGTTTCTTACCTTCTAGTGAAAGAAACTGTATTCAAACAGAGGCTGTAAAGATAATATTTAAAACAGGACTGTAAAGCTGTGGCTCACATCCTTGGTATTGTCTGCTGGTCCTGCTACAGTAGAGACTCAGAAACTCTTTTAGTGCATGGTTGAGACAAATATCCACACCTGAAGGCCAGATTATGGAAATTAAGTTTGATTCCTTGTATATAACATCTAATATGTAATTAAAAAGGAATCCCATGTGTTATATTCCCTATTAAATGACCTTAGAAAATCATTTTTTCAGTTAAAATCTAGGTTATATCTGCTTCTTTGATGTGTGACTGTGCTGACTCAGAGCTGAGGAGAATCAGGGGGGTGAGACTCCTCTTCTAGACACTGGAATTTGTCACCCATCCAGGAAAATCCCTCCTGTTGTGATGGCTCCACCAGGGCAACCCCCACTCCAACCTCTTGCTCTCTCTCTCCTCCAGTGCAGTTCTCACCTCCACATCTCCCACCAGCACTGCCATTCCCCTCTGACATTCCTGCGTATTCCACTTCCATCCTTAGCTCCAGCTCCCTCTGAGACGGATGCAAAGTGTCCTGGCTTCTTTTTGGGGTGTGTGAGCACCACCCCTGCTCTCTGAGGTGATTTTAGTGGGTGAAACCCCTGTCTGGCTATCTGCCACCCCAAGGAGTCCTCTGGCTTTCCCTGCTGGGCCTGGCAGAGGTTGGCTGCTGCTGTCTGAGGAATGGCATTGCACCCTGGAAATAACCCACCCTGGAAATAACCCACCCTGGAAACCCACCTCAAAACTCACCCTTAAACCCATCCTGGAAATCCACCTGGAAATGCTCCCTGGAAATCCACTCTGGAAACCCACCCTGGCAATCCACTCTGGAAATCCACACTGGCAATCCATCCTGGAAATCCATCCTGGAAATCCACCCTGGGAAACCCACCCTTGAAATCCACCATTGATTTCTTCCTCTACAAGCTTCATTGCACTCTGTGTTTTCATGGAAACCTCCTATTTGAAGCGGACCTCATGTCTAAAAACCCCACAAACAAGAAAATCTTTCTCTGTTGCAGTGAGCCCCAAGCCCTTGTGAGAAGTGCTTAAGCACCAGGCCAAGTCCCATCAAAACAAACAACAGTGCAAAGGTTTCCCTGGTCAGAACACTGTCCTGTAACAGTGGAATAAAGTGCATTTTCTCACTGCTGGAAGAGCACCCAGGAAGGAGTCCCCAGAGCCTCTCACTCCCATCAACTTTTTTCCTTCTCTAAATTTTCATTCCAAAATAAAGGGCTCCAGAAGGCCTCTCGATCTAGGCCTCATGGTATTACCTTTTTCTAATCTTTAATACCAGGCATGTCTTGATCTGTGCCCTGCCTTTTTATGCTCACAGCCTTTTTTCCTTCATTTTAATCCACATGTCCTCCTTAAATCTCGCTTTCCTCACTGTTTACACATTTTGTCAGTGCCTCTTCCACCAGCCAAGGTGTCTCTCCTTGCCAGATGCCTTCTTGCCCAACCCTGCAAGCCAGGAGATGTTTTTATGTCCCTGACTGTGGCCCTTTTCTGGTTCTTTGGGATTTTTTTTAATCCTGTTTTCCCAACTCTTGTAGAAAACTTTTTTATTTTTTTTATGTGCTCTGGTAATTCGTAAGCCAGTTCATGTAGTTCTTCCAAGGGCATGAGGTTTTTATTTAAGGCTTATTTTGGATCCTGTAGAAGCTCTTAATGGTTTTCATCTCATCAGCTGCAATTCTAATGTGAAAATATTCCAGCAGTTAATTACAGCGGTGATTAGCGGTGAGAGAGCTGTGCCTCTCGGATTGCAGTTCTCATGCTGCAGGGGAGGTGCAAGAGCCCAGAAAATGCCCTTGGAAATTCTGGATAGCTGGAGCAGACAGCACAAATCCCTCTGGGAAGGGCCAGCACACCCCACAGGGGCTGAGCAGCTCCATCTCAGGGGGTGCTGCAAGAACCCCAGAGGGTGAGGAGGGAGCTGAAAGTAAAGAAGGTGAGGAAATATCAGCTGCAGTCAAAGAGAAGGAGGAGATGCTGCTGATCCCAGGGCAGGGCTTGAGGGGAAAATGCACCAGGGACACATCTCCTCTGGGAGAGGCAGAGATCACCTTGCTCTTGTGCAGGCTGGGCTGCAAAAGGCTCAGGGAACAGCTCACCTGTGATTAAACTCACCATGCAGGGTCCAGGGGAGCACTCCTTGCATTCCCAGTCCAGGTGTGTTGTCCTTGGCTTCGAGTCCTGCTGGAAAACCACTGGAGGAGCACCAGCTTCTGCTGGCAGTTCCCATCCCCTCTGTACTCCTCTCGTGTGCCCAAACTGGTTTGTAGGCACCGTTTCACCTTGCAGTGAAGGTGCTGGGCTGATCTGGGGAGTTGGAACACTTGCATGGAGCTGTCTGTGAGCTCCTGCTGACTGAGGAGGGTGTCACCTGCAGCCAGAGCTCTGCTCCCCTCCATTCTCCTATTCAGGTGTCAAAGAGAGAATCAAAGTGAGTGAACTCAGCCTCCTGGAACAGTATTCAGTGTTTGCTGAAGTGTGAGAGAAGAAATGTTGAGCAATCTCAACAAAGAAGCACATGGAGGGCACAGAAAGGTAACACAGATGCTTCCTAGGTAATAATAATAATAATAATATAAAAAATACAGTAATAAAATATTCAGATACAGTACAGACATTATGTTTCAAATGCAGATATAGTGAAAAAATATTGGCCAAAGTTGATTGACTCCCACAGAGAAGTGTCAAATGTATCCTCTTGCACAACTGCTTCACTCCTCCTCCCTCTGAAGGATGTTTGTGTCTCAGCTTGCTGGCCCCCAAGAACCCCTGTTTGTGCTTTGTGCTTTATCTCTCACTCTCACCAAATAATCCAGCCTTTATGGAATGACCAGCCACATTTCTAAGCCTCAGCCTGAAAAGGGACATTTCAGCCTGAAAAGGGACATTTCAGCCTAAAAATGGACTTCAGGTTATTTTTCCTGGTGCCATCTGAAGGGATGAAGAAGTCAACGTGCCATTTTCTTTGTTAAATCCCAAAAATTGTAACATAACCAGCCCATAAGTCAAACCAGCTCATCCAGCAGCTTTCCAAACCTTCTCTGTGGGGTAGAGGGATCTTCCCTTTGGGTACTGAAAGGGAGAATCCCATCCATGGTGAAAACTGAGATCACATTAGAAAAGTAGAAAATTTTGCTTCAGGAACTTCAGTCACCAATTCTGATCCTCCTTGCTGCATTTGGAAGGAGATGAGTTTATAGAGAGACATCCAGAGGTAAACTGGTGTTTCACAGAATTTCTTCACTCTTAAGATGAGCCCACACCTTAGAGCAGCCAGAGATGAGTTAAATCTCAGCTGAAAGTGTTGGATTTTGGGGTGTTTTTTATGACAGACAGATTGAGGAAGTGTTCACCCATCCAAGTTTTCCCATTTCTCAGCTCCTAGAGAGTGTCAGCTCCCCTGGGTGGGTGTAACAGACTACCCAGAGAATTTGGATATTGTTTTAGCAATGGAGCACCAGATGGTCATTTAGAGCTCTCAACTTGTGAAGAGGACAGGTTCCCCTCAAAAATGGGAAATCTCTGACAGAAAGGGTTCAGTAAAACCCACAGCCCAGGGGTCCTAGCTGAGCAGGGAACAGGCAAAGGAGATGCAATCCTTTGAGTTAAACTCCTCAACATCCCAGGAAATTCCCCCTTTGAGTTAAACTCCTCAACATCCCAGGAAATTCCCCACTGGAGTGGGCAGTGCTACAAATCCTTCAGCCTGGCAAGAGGGATTAGCAGCTTTCCAGAATTAAAGGTAGCACCATCTGCAGTAATTAGTTTTAAATATCATATCTGATTATCTTCAAGGGAGAAGTTGGTGTGGTTTGCTCAGGAGCAAATCCGAGCCTCTCAGAGATGGCACACAAGTAATTAAACACATTTTAACTCCTCAAGAGTGATAAGCAAAGTAATTATCCGACTCTTGATGAAGAAAGCAAAGGGATTTTTGGTAACTCTGCTTGGTTACAGCACAATCTGTGCAGTGAAATTTAGAGCTCCAGTCTTGGGGTGGTGAAAGCCCAGAAAGATTTGACACGAAAACAAATGGAATAAGTGGGTTTTGGGGTTTTTTTGACTAAATATTTCTTCTGTGTGTCACACCTTGTTGGAGAGCACAGCTGTCACTGTCCTGTTCTGTCATAAAGAAACAACCCTGGCCTGGGTGTGGAAGGATTTTATCCTGACTAGAAAAGAGCTGACATTACAACAAATGCTACAAAACCCAATCATTTTCCTTTTAAAATAATAATCTGCAAACTGTAAACACATGCACCTGAGGTTATCCCTTTTTGACTGAAAATAAAGTGAAAAAGTGGAAAATTAGGAGTAAATTCAGCTTGCTAAACTGAGAACTTTTTTCCACTTCCTCAGTTTTTTCTTAGGATGTAAATATGACTTCTGCTGAAATACTAAGCTCTAGGAGTTGGAAGATTTTTAGGTGATTTTGGGTTTTGATAGCCATATAAAATACTTCAATGGCTCTGTTAGTATTTCCTATTTCATAAACATCCCATGTCTGTAAACATTTGGCATTAGTTCAGAAAATTCAGTTATTTATCATCTAAAAAGATGATGCTCCTGCCCAGGACTGGTGTTCAGCTGATGGAAAGGAAAATATAAAAATATATAGTCCAGATCCCACTGAAAAAAATTATAGAAGGTCATTAAAACTTAAATTAAATTCTTCTTTATAAATAGTCCAGCAGCAACTGGTGAAAATAACAAATATTTATGGTAGTTTATGGATGTACAATTAAAATGCTGAAATTTTATGTGAATTGGGGCTGAATTTTTCAGGTTGCATTTTGGGGGAGAAAAGATTGACAAAAGATCCCCAAATTTGTAGACACAGAAGTGAAGCGGCATCTCAACAGGGTACAAGATAAATTCTTCCCCCAGCTGTGGAAATTTGAGAGATTTCTCTCCTTTACCTCAAAAACTGAAACCTGCTTTTCCTACCTGCTATTTCCTAGCTGAATTACTGAATTAGAGGACACTTTGGAGTGATGTATGTCTGTTACCTGTGGTTGAAACTGGTTTTTTTTTTTAAACAAGCATTTGCTAGCAATTAATCTCAATTACAGCTTTCTTACCTCTTGCATGAATGCCACAACCTCTACAAAAAAAAAAAAATGCCATTTTCTCAGTGTCTTTTGCTCCCTTCCAATGAAAATGGAAAAGAAAGTAAGGAAACAATCACAGGAAACAGAGTCATATGATTTTATCTTTTCTTTGGAGGTTTTTACTTAAAGATAAGTAAATAGATTTATTTTAACCTAACAATTGCTTGACAAAAAAAAATCACGTATTTAATAGCAAGTATTTTCTTCTTGGATCAGAACTGAAATATTGAGTAAGTTGTCAGGAATCCTATTCACAAACCACCTTATTTTGGTAGCTGTGATAATATTTCCTTTCCTTGAGGCCTGATTTGCACGGCACACAACCCAACTACAATTTCTTAGGCTTTTGGTGAAGACTGCTCATCATTAAGGTATTTTCCACTGGCCTTCCGAATTTAAAGATGTATTTTACCAAACCTAAGTAAACACCACTAAATTAAACAAGCCCTCTCTGCCAGCTGGAAATGCAAGCAAAGCTTTCATGGGGTTTTTTTTCCCCCCCTTTAAACAGTTTTTGCTCTCTCTGAGGCTCTCCTCAGAGTAGGTATTTTATCTGCATTATGGACAGAGTTCCATTGTTCCCTGCTTTTTGTGCTGTTTGCAACCAGCAAATCCCACTATTCAAAGTGTTGTGCTGAGTTGTTTATGTCCCACGCTGGCACGGTGACAGCTGAACACATCACGGGCACGGCCGGAGCTTCGGAGCGCTGGAACAGCTCCGGCCTTCGGCTGCCAGAGCCCTCCTGCTCCCTGGAAACCTCAGCCCCGGCACAGGGCTGCTTTGCTTTGCTGACTCCTACCTCAGCAGGGTTTATCTGTAAAAGAGAAAGAGCAGCCCCAAATCCATCTCTATTTAATAAAGATTTCCCTTGTTTTACACGTAAATGTTCTGTGAGGAGCTGCTGCAGGCCAGAGTGCAGGTAGGCCGGATCCGCCTCAGGAGCGTTAAAAGAATATTATATTCTATATTTATATCCCATAAAAAACATTAATAGGAATGGCTTAACATGGAGCAGTTTCAATCATCCCCACCTTTGGTGGTGGTGCAAGGATGGCCACATCAGAATATTCCATAAAAAACATGAAGAGGAATGGCATGGAGCGGTTTCAGCCGTCCCCGCCCAAGGATGGCCGTGTGGGAATGGGGCATGGCTGCAGCCTGGGAGATGGAACTGCTCTTGTTTGCTCCTCACCCGACCTGGTAGCACGACACAGCTGCTTTTATCCCTGTGCCAATGCCAAAATCAATGCCAGGGAGGTGCCAGCTTCTAAATGAATGGTAAATATGCCTGGGCTTTAGGTTTAAGGTGACAGAAAAGGCAACATTATGATTTTATCATCACAGAATCATCTTCAAACATACAGATAATGAGATACCCAAAATCCAGTATTCCCATGTATTTCATTTTCTGTAGCTGTGGGGGCTTTACTTTTCAAAGTGTTTTTCTGTGTTGATCTGTGTGTGAAGTCACAGCTGGGGTGGATTAAAGAGGTGTGTGAGGAGGAGGAGAGAGCCTGCATGGGCTGTGCCCCTGGATCTACTGAGTTTATCAAACACCCAAGACAAGAAGCAAAATGTCAGCATGAGCTCCTTTGGGCACAGTGTGGTTTCTCTCCTGAGCTTTCTGTCTTGTTCTGCTTTGTTTTGCAGTTTGCCCAGCTGGTGTCTGTCTACAAAACTTTGGGCCCAGAGAAGTTCCCTCTAATCGAGCAGACGTTCTACCCCAACCACAAGGAGATGGTAGGTGCAAACAGCAGTGCTAAATCTGCTTTCTGTGCCTGTGAGACAGGGACTGGGACACACTGTTCCCTTTTCCCACCTACTGTCAACTCTAAAAGCCATTTTGGCAGCTTTCAGGGAGGGTGGGACAGGGTGACCACTTGAAATCACGGTGATGATGAGCTGGAGGGTGCTCAGATGGGAAGTGGTCAGCTCCTCAGCTGCCCAGCTGCAGATCTCAGAGAGATTAAATGCTTCCAAAGACACTGAACAACTCTTTCACGGTCTGTGTTCCCTCCAGTCCTTTCTGGCGTGTTCAGAGTGTTTGTTGTCTTTGGAAACGACGCACTGGGCACTGCAGAGCTTTGAACTCAGCCAAAATCAGGGTGGTTGTGACTTGTGATCTTCAGGTGCCTGAGCTAACACTCATTCCCAGTGCTTTACAGACAGAAAAAGAACACAGATGAGCCTGGCAAAGTCCAAGAAGCACCTGGATGATGGTTTTAGGGTGTGGTTTGGTTTTAGGCAGCAGTGATGAGCAAGGAATGGGACACAATGACCCTTAAGGGATCCTTCAAACTTGAGACTTGCTGTAATTTTACTGAAAAGAAGCAGGACTTTTGGGTGCATTGCTAAACTGCAGCCCATAGAAACAAAGAACATTTCATTTTGGGGCAAGAGCTGATGTGTCAGACTTATAAGTTTATATGGCATAATTTTCTGAGTGTAGCACCTCTGTGAGTGGTTTTCCAATGTCTTCATTCCTCTACATTGCTCATTAAAGTCAAAACTTCTAAGTGATTTCTCTTTTGTTTGAACTTTTGAATGTTCTCCACAGCCAAGTTATCTTATTTTTTTTTACGTATTTCTATGGTAATGAATGTTAATCTAGAGGAAAATAATCCATTTGGGTATTGCATTGCTACTCAGAACTGCTGCAATATCTGCCTGTGATGACACTCATTTGTTTGGTTTTATTCCTCCTGAAGAAAGTGTCTGGAACTCTGTGGCTTGGGAAATAATCAGGCAATGTGGTACAAGACAACATTTAGTTTGAATTTTGTTGGAAGTGGGTTGTAAGATGATCTGGAAATCAGAGTCTTCTGATGCTGCATGCACTGAAATGATATAATTTTATTTTGTTTTGGATTTTCAGCACTTTATCAACAGCTGGCCTTGTTTGCATTTGTTGATGCAGAATTCGGCAATTACGGTTTAAAATATGTTTTTGGTGTTCCTCTTGCTTTTTTTTCCTTCCCTTTTTATTCTCCTGGAGCTGTCCCCCCTCCAGTGCAAACCAGCTCAGAGGGGACATGGGGAGAAGGAAAAAGCCCCAAATCTCTGGGAACTGAGGGTCAGCTGAGCATGCCACAGGTGCTCCTTTCACCCTCTGCTGATCATTTGTGCCGAGGCTTTAGGCAATACAAGGTAAATAAACAAAGATGCCATTCTTTTGTGTAAAAATGGAGCTGCTTTAATGAAACACTTTTTGAAACAGAAACATTCATCCCAGACTGATTACAAAAAACGCTGTGAGGCTTTTGAACTCATTGCTGGTTGAGTCATATCTACAGCCTTTCCCTCAGTAATTAGTTCCCTTTATTTCACTGCATTCCCACTTCTTCTGTTCTCTGCAAAAACAACAGGGCTTTTTCAATGTAATTGCTGAACAATTTAATTAAAACTTAACTGGAATGTTGAGGAAACACCAGCAATATTCCAGGTGGTGGATTTTTTTCCCCTGTTCACCTATACAGTCTCCCTCTTCTCTTCTTTTCCCTACTCTTATCAAAAGTCATGTGAGCCATTTTCAAATTAAAGTCAAATTTGTGCCAGGCTGTATTTCTGCTCTGCCCTCTCATGTAACACAAACATGGTTTCAAGAAGTAAAAAGAAAATGTTGTGAAAAGAATCTGCTGTTGATAAGGTATCAATGAACTACAGTAAAAATCCTGATATTGAAATAACATATTCAGAATGCCACATTGTAGTCAAGCCTTTTGAGAATCTTCCTCAGGGAAAATAAAATCTCATTCTGAGCTGGGGTTTTGTAAAGCTCTTGTTGCCACATTTATTGATATGAGGGAAAAAAGAAATAAATATAATCTTTGTACCATCCCTTGTGGGAATTTTGGGCAGATTTCTGCTCAGCCAGAAATCAAAGCAGACAGACCTTAATTGTGAAACATCTTGTGTGGGATATTTTATAGCAGGACAAATAGAAAATGTTTTTAAAACTAATTTGTATTACAGTCTGTCCAGAACAGATAGTTAGAAATAATAATTTATTATTTCTAAATATCAGAGAAAGCATTTCTTTATGCAGAGTGGACAGAGAAGGCAATCTGGGCAGGGTGAATTGAGTTTAAGGTCTAATTACTGTAAAACTGAAATAGGAGCAGAGCTCTGGTGAGTTAAAAAGCAGAAAACATCTGCTTGCTGCAGAGTGTTATCCAAAAGGCACCATTCCATCAAAATGGATTTGAAGACAAATGCTACAGAACTGGTACTGAATATTTATTAACCACTGAATATTAACCTTTGTGGTTATTAACCTCTGTGGGCTTCTCTAGGAATTGGTTTGATCTGATATGAGGAAATAAGGCCTGGCTTTGAATCTTTCTGAAAATTCATAATAGAAATGTACAGCACTGTCAGTAAATAGCTCTGCCAATACTGTCACTGCAATATCAATTATTTTTTGGAAGAAACGTAGCTTCTTATACTTTTTGTTTCATTTAGGTAAGTCTATGCTCCAAAGTGTTAGTGTTAGGAAATTTTTGATTTGAGTAAAGCAGAAAACAAGCTGGGCTTTACATAGATATGGTTTTAATTTAGGGTTGTAAATTAAAAGAGCCAGACTTGATTTACAGTAGATCAAAAGTGAAACATTGGCTTTTATTTATTACAGGACACATATTCCTCAAAGTAATAGTGACATGTTTTCCTGTTGGCCTTGCACCATTTGCATTTCACTGGAAATGCATAAACTTAATTGCAGAGAAAATAAATCTTTTTTTCTCAGAAGAGCATATCCTGTCCTTTAGATAGTAAAGTCTGTCAAAAAGGGCAGCTACTGGAGATTCCCATCCTGCCCAAGGGCTCTCCCCCTTTCTTGTGGGGCACAAATAGTCTGAACTTTGGCATTTTCACTTCCCAAAGTTTCACCACTGTGAATTGAGTTACTTTTATAAACTTAAAAACGTGTGTGAGGGATTAGTTACTAACTCCAGTCACCAATTCGGGAAAGTTAAGTCACGAAAAAAGTTACAGGCAAAATGTGTTGTAACCCTTCTCTAGTTTGAGTTCACAGGTAGCCAGATTCATTGAGAGAGTATGGTGGGTGCTCGTGAATGAAAACGAATTCAATCCTATTAAACATGGTCAAAAATCTGGGAGCTTCCAGAAATCACTGCAGTGTAAGCTAGGCGATATTTATTGCATGTACTTTCACGTGAGTTTCTAAAGTTTGAACAGTGCTGAGGTACAAATACCTGGTCATGTATTTAGGGAGGTGTTAAGGGCTGCAGCTGCCCTGAGGATGGACGTGGTTTTTGTAGTTCTGAGCACTTTGAGCCTGTCATCCTTTGGGCTTGGAACTTATTCCATGCAATGCTAAAATCCATGGATTAATGCTTAAAAATCTGGCTTTTCCTTCAGCAAGCTCTGGTTAGTCCATAGGAATGCTGACTTGGGAAGGGGGTTTTGATTATCAAAGCTGTTTCTTAATTTATCTATCGATGGAAGTTACAACTCTGTGGGTAAAGGAAGCTGTGACATAAGGAACATACAAAATGTGGAGCACAGATTGTTTTAATCACAGAAGTGTTCAACTCATTTCGACAGATAAGGAAATATTTGTGAATCCTTTTTTTTGTTTTTTTTAATAGCACATTGTTATAATACTTTACATATACACTGTACAATAATTCTTTCGTATCCAAGACTTTCATACAGAAAAAAACCCCAAGAAACAGTTCTATAAAACATTCCGCAGTTCATCGGAAAGATTTGGAATAAAACACGGGGAGCTCTTAATCTGCAGGTTATCAAATTTTGGGATGGGGGGGGGGGGGGGGGGAAAATTCTGGCAACTCTTTTGTTCTCGTACATTCATATTGGCAAAAAGGGAACTTGGAGGACAGTGCCAGCCCTCTGTGCAGAGCACAGCAGAGCAGAGCAGGAGGTTTGTCCCTCGTCCTGCACCAGCGCCAACCCCCCGACTCTTTGGGGACAACTGGTGTTTGTTTCTAAGCAAGATAGGCGAGACCACGGCAGCTCAGAGCCGCTGAGCCCCCCAGGGTCGCGTTTGCAGGGCCGGAGAGCGCTTCAGGGCTCGCTGATGTCGATGAATTCCTTCTCTGGGGGAGGCCCCCCTCGGTACCAGCTGCAGGTGCCATCGCTCCTCTTGATGCAGGCGTAGTGACGGGCCTGGTGCCCGTAGAGCCTCCTCTCGATCAGCCAGTCTGTCCACAGGCACTCGTTGGGGGCCGTGATGGAGCAGGGCACCATGTAGCACGTGGTGATCTGGGGGCAAAGAGCTCCTTCAGTACCCTGCAGCCGCTACAGGCTGGGGTGTATTCCCAAAAATACAATAAACGGTGTTTATTTGCATTTATCCGCCCTGCACTCATCTTGCAGCTTCCTCTGAACCAGGGTTTATTCCCAAAAATACAATAAACAGTGTTTATTTGCGTTTATCTGCTCTGCACTCATCTAGCAGCTTCCTCTGAACCAGGGTTTATTCCCAAAAATACAATAAATGGTATTTATTCACATTTATCTGCCCTGCACTCACCTTGCAGCGTCCTCTGAACTGGGGTTTATTCTCAACAATACAATGAATGGTGTTTATTTGCATTTATCTGCTCTGCACTCACCTAGCAGCTTCCTCTGAATTAGGGTTTATTCCCAAAAATACAAATTAATGGTGTTTATTTGAATTTATCCACCCTGCACTCACCTAGCAGCTTCCTCTGAACTGGGGTTTATTCCCAAATATACAATAAACGGTGCTTATTTGCATTTATCTGCCCTGCACTCACCTTGCAGCTTCCTCTGAACTGGGGTTTATTCTCAAAAATACAAATAAATGGTGTTTATTTACATTTATCCACCCTGCACTCACCTTGAAGATTCCTCTGAACTGGGGTTTATTCTCAACAATACAATGAATGGTGTTTATTTGCATTTATCTGCTCTGCACTCACCTAGCAGCTTCCTCTGAATTGGGGTTTATTCCCAAAAATACAATAAACGGTGTTTATTTGTATTTATCTGCCCTGCACTCACCTAGCAGCTTCCTCTGAATTGGGGTTTATTCCCAAAAATACAATAAACGGTGTTTATTCACATTTATCCGCCCTGCACTCACCTTGAAGATTCCTCTGCACTGGGGTTTATTCTCAAAAATACAAATAAATGGTGTTTATTTGCATTTATCTGCTCTGCACTCACCTTGCAGCCACAGCCCATCTGGTACCTCTGGTTCAGGCTCTTCTTCTGAGACAAGGATAAATCATCCCACGGCTCAATGTAGTTGCACAAGTGGATCAGCACTTTGCCATCACTTAAAATTTGGCCTGCAGCATGAAAAACGCAAAAAGTCAAAGCAATAGAAGTGTTTTCTAAATATTAGAAGTGTTAAGAATACCTTGAGTTTTTAACCAATTGCACCAAAATGATAATACTTCAAAATTTTTAAATTTATTTTAATTATAACAGAGAATATTCTTCAAATTGCAAGCTGTGTGGATGTAAAAGGTTGAAGAAGGATATTTTTCTAAAGATGTTGAAAATCTGCCAGCAAGGGGTGGATACAAATGCAGTTAAAGAGGATTTTTAGGATTGTCTAGAAAAATCTGCGGTTACTTGGAACCCCAGACCTGCAGAACAGACAGGCACATGTTTTCTCATTATGCACCTCTGCATTCTTGAGAAAATCAGCACTGTTGGTTTTAATCAAATAATAACAGCAAATACTGAATCAAAATTCCTTCTATTTACTGATTATATCATTATTGACCTTCACTTCCTTTGGAAGTGCTCTAAGAGTGCTGGAGGATGTAAGATCACACCATAACTACAGCATAACACAGTTTTTACATCCCTTTGTGTTTGTATTTAGCACATAAATGCATTCCTTTTTAGCATATTTTAGCAAATTCACTCTAAGCAGCAACTTCTGAATTTCCAGGAACATTCATTTTGCTGCATTTTACCTGTTAGAAGATACTGTTTTTTGTTGTTGGCTTCTAGTTTCACTCCACAGAGTGATGAATCAAAAGGGGTGTAGACGTATTGGACATCCTTGAGCTTTTCAAATCCTTTAAACATCTGAAAATGATCAGAAACAGAGAGTCAGTAGTGGAAAACAAGCATGAAAAAACAGTTCTAAACTAGAGCTGGAAGAGATACAGGGTGAGTCTCTTTAGAGAAGGCCCCAAAGTCTGAATTAATGTGAGAAAACACCAATAACTGGACTTTTTCTCTACGCTTAATAAAATACATCCAAGAGTTTTAGGAGAAATTAAGTAGGTCTTAATTTTTTTTTTAAATTATAGCTTTTAAAATATGCTTTTTTGGTGTATTTAATGGATTCTTAAAACTTTCTCTTCAATTTATATTCTACTGGCATCTTCCATTCAAGGAGCAATGCAGAGACAAGCATTTACCAAAATGCAAATATTTCTCAGTGTATTCCTCTGGGGAATTTTCTCTTGCTCACTGTTGTTGTTGGGATCTCCTGGGACACCAAGCCTGCTGAGGAACTGAGCATTTCCTGAGCATTGGTTTCATACTTGAAGTGCTTTTCCATAGCCAAAATTCCCACCAGTGGGACCTTCTCAAAGAACTGTTGGAAAATGTGACCCAGCCCTTGAGATTTACACCCTGCAAGCCCCAAAATGGAGAGATTTGGAATCAAAGCATTTTTCAGACTGGATGCCCCTTTGTAATATTTTTTAAAACTATTTTTAATTTTTTTTTTCTTTCTCTGATTCTGCTGCACTTCTTCTTTTCTTTACTCCTGGATCTCTCAGTCTCCTTTGGGCTGAGCTCCTTTAGGATCTTCCCTCGTGGGATTTGAAGAAAACTCCCCAGCTCGTTAGAATTTTGTTTCTCATGTTTATTAGGATGTTATTACAAAACTTGGCAGGTCTCTCCAGACTATCTGCACGAGTTCAAATCACTGTAATCTGGTTCATTTTGCTCTGATGGTACAAAATGCCCTTGTGGCTCACTTTGTGGCTCACTTTGGTTTTGAAAGCACAAAATGGGTTGCACTGCGGCATTCATTTTTTGTCTAATCACTTGCAATTACCCAAAAATCTCTAAGAGAAGAATATGAAGAAGAAAGAAGAAGGAAAAGAAACAACATTCTAAATTCTTCATCTTGTCTTCTGCTTTCTAAACTATTTTTAAACTCTAACTTTTTCACCCAGTGACTTAAGAAACTCTCTAATCTACACACTCACACTTTTAGCTTTTCTAATTTGAACAGTTGTTTTCATGTTTTCACCATGAAAACATGCTCATAAATTTCATGTTTTATGAAATTCAGTGTTTTTCTGGATCTTAGAGTTAAATATTAGAAACAAGCCCACACTCTGTGTGTCTCAGACTCCAACACCCTTAACCAGCAGCTTCAACCCCAAAAAGAAATGGAAGATGAGCCATGAAAAGACGAGAACAAGCTTAGCTGTGTGCAAGCACAGCTCTGAGGAGGGAGCAGGAGGTGCTGCCGAGTGCCTGTCATCACCTCGTGTGCCACCACCAGCCCGGTGACATCATGCCACGTGTTGACAGCTGGGGACAATGGCAGGGGCTCACAGCTCTCCCAGTTGCAGCTGGCGTCCCTGGAAAATGTGTTTGTGTTCCTCAAGCCCTCCCAGGAGATTTAAATAGCACAGGCCACTAGAAAATACTCTGTAATATGTTGGTTTTTCTGAAGCCTTATTTACGGAGGGGGGAAGAAAGCCAACGTTGTTGTCACCGCGTGGCCGATCCAAAAAATATTAGCTGGGATTTGAAATGCTTTGGAGAAAAAAAACAAACAGGCCCAGGCAGAGCAAAACACAAAACAAACTGGCACCCTGTCCAAAGCAGCAGTGGGAATCCCAGAACATCTCCAAAATGATGAGGAAAATGTGTCTGGTACGGGGCCACCACGTGAGCTCTGCAAGTGGCCTTTGCCTCAAGCTCTCTCCACGTTCAGAAACCTTCAGGGTGTTGTAGGGAACAGCTTCTCCATGGATATCTCAGCCTTTGGCCTCAACTTTGGAGGCTTTGTGCAGACAGCACACCTTGATTTAGCTATAAAACCCCTCAATACCCACAGCAATGCATAATGGAGATTTAGGTAATATTTACATGAGGTTAGTGTTTGTTTCGTTGCAGGTTTTTTTGGTGCTTGGTTGGGTTTTTTTTTTTAAATTACTGTCTGATTTATCTGTGGTTTTGACCTATATAGTTGTTACAGTCATTACTAAAGATGATAATCTTGTGCTTAACTCAGAAAATCATATTTAATCTTCTCAGTCATACTCTCCCTTCTCCTGAAAGCATGGATATTTCTCTGTAGAGGGGTAAGGTGGTTGGATTTGGTTCTGCATTGATGCATGCTCCGTGTTCACCTGAGCTCCTGGCAGCACTTTATTGAAATAGGAAAATAGGGTGAGGATTTGGGGACAGAGAGAAGTGAACCTGCCACAAAAATCTGTATGGGCACTGTCCCTGTCCTCCTGAGGGGCACAACCAGCACCAGCACATGGCTTGGCTTTAAGATTTTAGAAGGAGTGTGATGACCAAGACAGTTACAAAAATATTACGAAGAAATAGTCAATTGCACATAAATCACATACTATCTTCTCTCCTCTATATAATGCTGTAAATATTGCAAGAAAAGAACAGTAATTGAAAACATTTCTGGCTTCTTGACATGCCAACCCATCCCTATAAAATTAATAGCTCCACTGTTATTTTTTTTCTTTCTGAAAATGAACATCAAAACAATATCTAATATTTCTGTCCAGAATAGCAACATTTTAATGCTAAGCCTAATGCACTGGATTTAAAATGAGAGAAACAGAATTTAAGCCATGACATTAATGGAGCAGCTCAACAACATTGGGAGTAATAGAGCGGAGAAACAGCAGCGTTGTGCTGAATGTTACAGTCCAATATGACCTCCAAGGGCTCTGTGTTCCCTTTCCAAGAGGGGAGAATTGATGAGGAAAGTGTGAATATCTGAGTGGTCTAAAAGCCCTCCCCAAAACTCACACTGAGGTGATAACTTTTGTGAATTTTGTGATAATTTTTTGTTCATTTTATAGCTCAGAAGAGGTGATTGGAGGGTGTGTTCTTCCTTGCTGTGTTAGAGACAGCAAATTCCCAGCCTTTCCCTCAGCCTGTGCCTGCTCCTGCTCTGGATTACCCAGAGCCCTGTGGTAATCCCAAGGACCCTGCAGTTTGTGGGACTGCAGGCATCAGGAGAAACCATCACCAGCACTCCAGAGAAGATGGGAGCGGTGAGCAGAGAATATTCTCAGCGTTCACACGCACTGTGGAGTTAAACTCTTTAAAATGCTGTCAGCTGAGCTGAGACATGGTGTGACCAAGCTCCATCCTGAGCTGCTCAGCAAACTGAGTAATTGTTCAGCATGTCATTTTTGCCTCAGTTATATTTTGGGGTGTCACAGGTCACCCCTCTCTGTGGGTCTGTCAGGCACAGCCGCCTTGCTGGGTTTGCTGTGGTGCCACACTGGGTGCACAGGTGACCCCACAGAGGGTGGGCAGCTCACAGAGCTCCTGTTTTCCAGCCAAAACCCTTCCCTTCCCCAAATCCCTCCCTCCCTGCAGCAGGGAGCTGGGTCCTGGGGCAGGGGAAGGTTTGGTCCTGAACTCTCTCTGGTGAGAAGGAAGGATTTGAGGGGTGGGGGTTATCACAAACCATCTGTTGTTAGTCTAAGCTTGAGTGTGACAATGTAGAGCACCTTTTATTAAAAAACACATCTCTGCTTTGTCCAGGCCTGGCTGACTCGCCCTCTGAACCTGAGTGGAATTAAATAAACACCTTTTCCTGCTGCCTGAGTTTTGAACAGGTCTCCACTGATCAAAATTAAGGAGAAACTCCAAAGCAGCTTCAATACAGAAATGTATTTCAGAGATTTCAGTGTGCTAAAGAGTGGGATTATAGGCTGAAAACAATCACTCAGATTAGACTTCTTCTTCTTGTTTGTGCTGAGGTATAAGATGATTTGCATTTCTTTCAAGTTCCTGAAGTGCTGCAGAGTAGCAGCAGCACATTCAAGTGCCAGTGGGAGGAAAGGGAATTCTCTGGCATTGATGTTCTTATTTCTGTAAAGAAACATTTGAATATATCCTTAATATTTAAGGAGACAGGAAGTGGCAGATGGTGACGAGCTTTGGGGTTTGTTTAACAAGGTAGAGACTGGCTTGTTGAAATTGCTATCAAACCTTCACAGAAGTCATGTGTGATAACCATCCTTGTGAGTACTTTGAGATATTCCTGTTTACCAAAGATTCTTCCTACATAAACTCCTGCGAGGGGATTGGATCAGTGGACACAACTTGAATGGTTGAATTTTTTTTTGAAAGCATGTAGCCACCCATAATGATCTTCTTAAGCATTCCCAGTAAATGTGAAAGTGAAAAAATTACAAAATAATATTCAGTGAAAAGTGAGAGATGAAGTTACCTTGAAAACCAACCGACCAACCCACCTCACCTGTGCACACACACATTTTTTCATTTTTTCATTTTAATTTAGAGAGATTCCCTGCTTCTTGTATATTCCAGAAAAAAGGTAAATCTTGATCATTTTTACATCAGTTAGAGTTTGAAGGTGACTTCAATGGGCTCAGGACATGTGCTCTTAAATTGTATTAATGAATATTATCTCCTTATTGGAGCTGAACAAAGAGTGGGGAAATCCTGTGAGATTCTGAATCTGTGTCTCTGGGTGTTTGCTTCCCCAGCAACACTCACACAAATGGATTTTTTGGTGAAGTGAATATGAGGGAAGGACCTGGCCCTGCAAATATCCCTGTTCACAATGAACTAAGGGTTTTCTCTCTAAGCTGAAAATGCTCCCCTCTGTTTGGAAAGTTTGGACCATGCAGAGCAGCCACACCATCAGAGCACAGGTGATCAGGAATCCTCCAAAACCAGATGTACTGACACCACTCACAGAATGAAGCACATTTTGTGGTGCCTTTAAAACTAGGAGTAACAAAATTCTTCATCAAAATATCATTATTTAGCAAAAACCTCCTGAATGTCAGGACACTTTTCTTTCCTTTTTTTATTTCCCTTTTTTAATCCCTCTTTTGATTTATTCTGTGTAGTTCATCTGGGTCTAACTGTGGGGGCAGCTGGAGCCTTTTCCAGCTTTCCTAGCATTTTGGGCTAAGTTATTTTGGGCTGAAATATGCAGAGGTTATCAGCATTGAACTTCAAAAAAGCTTAGTGATTCCATGTACCTTTATTTGTTTGATTTCATACCGGATCATTTTGTGGGTATCAAGGGGATCATCGCTGGCAGGAACCACCTTTTCACTGGATATTTTTGCTCGGATCACTGGAAGAGAGAGAGAGAGAGAGAAAAAAAGAAAGAGATTTAAATGCAAATGAGAAGATGTCCAACTTTACAAGCAAAAATGAAAATTATATTGATAGATTTTAGCATTGATTTGACAATGCTAACAAGTAGGTTTTAAAGATTTTACCGTAAGAACACCAACTGAGCTCCTGAAAACAAAAGGAAGTGGGCTGTCTGTGATGTAAACCCAAATTCCCAAGAATCTGGAAACCTGATTGATGTTACCACTCAGTTTTGACAAAAAAAGTCCATCAAAATCTCTGGAAGACTTGAATCCAATAAAATGTGACAAAATACCCATCATTATAATCAGTGAGCAGAGGAAAGGGACACTTCTATTGATGACAGAATTGTTGATCAAATAAATAGACTTGAAGTAAGCCCCTGGAAGCCTGTGCCAGGCAAGATTAAAGCACTGATTTCATCCATGAAATTAGAATAATCTTATATTCACTTTTCTGAGGCTTGACAGAGCACACCATTAGTTGTGTAGAAATCAATTACTTCCTGTTTGGATGGACTTCATTTATTTCCTGCTCTTTAATCAAGGAGAGTTAGGAGATTTTATGAAAGAAGAAATGGATTCTTTCCCTCTCTCTTTCTTTTTGATATCTCTCTTGTGTGTGATGTTTAAAATATGCCATGACACTTTGGCACAGTGGTTCTAAGAGCATGGGCATGGCCAAAATTCCTCTGGGGATTTTATCCCCCAAAATTAGTGAGAGCCCTGCTTTTGCTCCATTCTGGATGGCCACTGCTCCTGGGTTAGAACAGTCTGTGCTTGTGGAGAGACACCGGCAAAGCCAGAGCAGAGGAAAGTTTTGTGACACCAAAATCACATGTTCTCCCCCTCAAAAACTCCATTTTTTTACTAGATTGACCTCATTTTTATCGTATTTAACATCATAGCTAAATAAAAGGAACAGGAAACACAACCAGGTAGAGGTGAGTCCCACCTAACCCTGGAAAAATTGCCATTTCCCTACTAATGAGCAGAGCAAACTGGATGGAATAATCCACGTGTTGCAGCTGCCTGCAGCTTCCAAGCTCCAGCAGGATGCTCCCTGCTCCTGAGCCATTAAACCCTTCTTGAGGAGCATTCCAGATTCCTTGGGAGGAAAGAGTTCTTTTAAATATGAGCAGCAAGCTCCTCATTTCACGTGGAAAGTGGCAGCATCTCTTTAATCATCTGCAGATGTGAGCAATCCCACAAATTAACTGTGTGTCTGCAATGCTCTGATCTCCTTCCAGGAGTTGTGTTGTGGATTGTGCGCGCTCTACGCTGCTGGCAGGGACAAATTAGGATGGTGTTGTTTGGTTTTGAGATGCTCTCCTTTGCATCATTACTCCCTAAAAAGTAAAAATGGATTTCTCATTAAAGAGTCTGTTCAATTCTGGAGGAAAGGGCTGAGAAAACAACATTATTTTCCCAGTACCATAACACAGTTTATGTGCAGGAAATCTTTTCCTGCCTACTCAGCGTGGGATAATTAAAACTACTTTCCCTACGTGTTTAATGTTGAAACATTGTGCACTTCCATATTTTTATGAAATTCTACTTGTTAGCACATGAGAGGAAGGTTACAGATAATCCCTGATAGCTCCAGGGGTCTCCATGGAGTTGTGCAAGGCTGAAAGTGTAACGTGCTGGGGTTTGTCATGAAGAGATCTCTCAGTGGCTGTGGAGATGAAAATGAGAAGCATTTTTGTGATGTCTGTGTTTCATTCGTTTGTTTAAGAGAAAGCTTCCAGATGGCAAAGTGGGACCAATTGAGAATTTTATTTTAACAGGAAGAAAGTTTAATTGTCTAGACTTTCAGCTATTTGGGTTTTACCCTTCTGTTCTCCTGAAACCAGATTCAAACGCACCGAGACCTTTTGGCGCCTTTTAATTCTTCTTGGGTTCCTTGAGATTTTTATTTTCTGTGCATTAATATTTTTTTGCCATCAGTGTCGTCTAGCTGTCTCCTCAAACCTCTGATTCATGTGGTTGCTCCTGTTTTTAACCACAAGCACTTCCTGCTGGAGCATTCCTGGGCATCTCCCTCTCCTCGCTCGTGGTTCAGGGGGCTCAGGATTCCTCCGACTCTGCACTTCTTTTCAGGACATGGTTTCAAGTGTTCCACGCCTGGTTTGGCCTCTCTGTGTGAGTGAGAACAGCCTCTGGTTGTTCAGTAATAATGTCATTTTAGCTGTTATTGCTTCCTTATGAGGAATTTGTATCTATGGAATACATAGGCACAGATTTCATATTTCAGTGCCAGTAATTCCGAATGCCTCAGATTCGTTCTGCACTAAAAATACAGACTTCAGTTTTTCAGTGGGAGGATGTAGCTTTTCTGTGGACTCAACTTCGATAAAATGTCATTTTTTTCTCCTCACTTTGCAGCTGTAGGTTGTCTCAGGTGACTGAACTGAAAGGAAATGAATTTGAGGGACAGGAGGACAATGCTCAGCCCTTGGGCACTCTAATTTAGAAATGTGTTAAGAATATGTTTACTCCTCCTTTCCTCCCAATCATTTGTAAATCAGTAGGAGATCATTTTAACTGGGTAAAACACAGAACATCTTTAGTTTATCCTTTGATATATGTGTTTATCCAGTCAGGAGAAAAGTGTCAGGGTTTCTACAACACCAAAGCGTTTATATGCAATAAGGGCAGAGAGTTAGGCATTAGCAGCATCATTCCCAAACCTGGGAGATTTCCTTCTGGAATTAGCTACAATAATTAATACCTGGAAATAAACTGTATCATCACCTTGTGGGTCAGAGATTTTTGTGATCATGAGGAGCTGCTTTTCTTACGGGTACATTTCCTTAGTCTGAGGAAAGTCCCTGCCATGAAATTGATTTTAGTCCACCACAGTGACAAAAACAATGAAATAAGAAGGGAGAGAAGACACAAAGAATTGAACAGCCACTGCAGGGCCCATCCCAAGGCACAGATATGGATGGAATCTGGATAAACAAAATCCTAGCACTTAGTCCACTGAAATTCATATATTCCCTAAAAGTAGTGTCCTTTTTAGACTCTGAGTTATTTCTAAGGCAATAACTGAGGGAAAAGTGTTGAGTGAAGAATTCCTCTCATTGTTACAAGTTGGCATTATTAAATAATACATTCTGTATTACACTATCTAAAGTTTTATATAATATTACTGTACTTAAGTGGTGAGATTATCCTCAAGCTACTTTCCACAGTCCAAGTGGTAGAAGACAGGCAACTTTACTCAGCTAAAATAATCAATTTTACTACTCCAACTCCCCAGATAAACTTCATAATCCTAAGAACCAGCAGGTAAAGGAGAAGGTAAAAAACTGATGAACAAGTGAGGTCTTTTCCTCCACTATCTGTTAAGTACCAGCAACTGCACAGCGAAAAATAATCTAGGAAGATATTTAAGATTCTGCTGGACATAAGAACAAGAAATGATCTATTGTATATAAATCCTTATGTGCATTCTTGTTTTAAATAGATAAATAGATAAATAGATAAATAAATAAATAGATAAGAATCTGTGTTTCAGTTGTGCCTCCAGTTCACTTCAGGTTTTTTTCAGGCTATACCCTAGCTCTGTGAATAGAAATGTGATTTCCACATCTTCTATGCAGTTCTTCCTCTCAAGAAATCAGGAAAGCTGAGCTCCTATCTCACAAGTTTATAATCACAATCAGCTTTGCTACAAAAACCTTGAAATGAGACTTCAAAAACTTTGTTGATAGGAAAAGATGTAAGTCATAAAAAGTTATCATCAAGGCTCATGAAGCCCTTTTTTTTTCTCTTACATTTTAAAGCCTCAATTTAGCCTTTTCATTTAATTACCTAAAATATAAAGAGTAGTTTTTGATCACTTCTTTCCACCTGTCTCTTTAAAGTCTGACACTTCAGCCAAGCTGTTCTTAGATGTTCTTGCTCTTGGAGGGACAAGGAATAAAAAACACAAGGAGAGGGACCTCGATGAAAGTGTGTGGCTGATACATGGTTGGACTGAGGATGGCATCCTAAATATAGATGAAAAGCATCCCAAAAGTGTTTTTTTTCTGAAATACCATGTCAGTCAGAATGTAGCAGATCTACGGACACAGAATATGGATGTGCATCATTTTCAAGGCACTTAATACTCAAATTAACTTCTCTCTGTAAGAATCTGTCCTTTCACCAAAATGAAAGCACTTTCACAAACAATATGCAGCTGTTTCTGTTCACTCTTCTGCTGCAAGATTAACTCAGACTTCTATCATTTATTTATTATCTATCACAACTTCTTCCCTCTTTGGGGTGCAGGAGCTTAAAACTTGCTCCATAAATGTCTCAAATTCCTACCAGATCCTACCCACAGAATTCTGGTAAAAGGAAAATCCCACAGGGACAACTGCTGGAGCCCCAACCACAGAGACCTTGAGTTTATGCAAACTCACTTCAAAAACTCTTAGTGAGCTCCAACACTGTTTTAAATATCCAAAGGAATCCAAATAATCCTTGTGCCATTCTCCCTTTCCTGCACTGCAGCAGTTCTGATCCCAGGCCACTCAAACATGCTTGGAACATGACATTGGCTCGGAGGTGCCTTGGGTGTGATGAAAGAATTCATCAAAAGAAAGTGGAGAAGAGTCCACATGAGGGGTTTGGAGCTGTAAAGGTCAAGTTTTCAGGTCCAGTGATTTAGAATAATAAAATAAATTATAGAATAATAGAATAATAGAATAATAGAATAGAATTTAGAATATTGGAATAATATTAGAATAAAACAGGAAAGAGCTGAACTGGCTCTGGGCTCTGCAGGCCAGGTGGCAATGGCAGTCCCTGTCCCTGGGGTTACTTCCAGGTATGTTGGTTTTCCTTTATTCTGCTTTCTTAGCTGGCTGCAGCAAAATAGAAATCCATCCTGTGGCAATTCTTTCAGTTTTACACCACCTGATAAAGATGTGCCTGTCTATTTTTAAGAACTCCTCATTTAAGAAACTGGATCACTTTCCAC